TGTCCCAGTCCCTACTAGATTGACTGCCACCAATAGCGGTCGGATGTGAACGAACGGGACACTCTATAGGCCTTGAATTCATCCTGCATCAACAGGTGAACTAAGCCTGTCCCTAGGGACATTTACCGCCCCAGACCGGCGAGCGCACTCCGCAGGCGTGCCGGCCCCGTCCACCGGTGACGTCATCGATGGGACCTATGACGTCAGCGGCTGATCCGCGACGACCGATTACTAACCTCAACCAAGGATAACTGCGCTATTCGCGGCTGGGTTAAGCTGACCGGCGGCGGTCTGACGCGGCGCGGTCGCGACAGTCGTGGCGTCGTGGATGACATCCACTGTGGGCTGGGCCCTGTTTCACGGCGGAGCGCTGCAGTGCGCTGCGCGCGTCGGCGCGTTGGGTTTCCATGGCAATATCAACAAACTCCCCTCTGACGCTACGCTATGACGTCATCGCAAAACGCTAGCACCGCAGCGCCAGCACCATCCGCACGCTAGCAGTATTCACATTCAAACTTCTGTTCAATTGATACTAGGTTCTAAAAGTTCTCTGTTCGAAACGCGATCTACCATAAGCTAACGGATCGCACGCAACGTCATTCGAGTGACGTCAGGGGTACGCCTCAGCTCCCAGCGCGCTGCAGCGCGCGCAGCGTCGGGCGGTGAAACAGGGCCCCGGAGGGATGGACTCTCGTCTGGCTGTCCGAGCGCCCTTCGGTTGTCAGTCTAACATGAACTGATCTCGGCTCCCGCTTGCTCTTCAGAGCCTGACAGCGCCACTGTCTGGCCCGTCTTAAGTGTGGCGGGCTGAGTGAGTCGCCTCTGCCGAGCTCCCGACTGGGGGAGAGCGGTCGAGACCGGGCGGCGAGGGCGGCGGCTCCCATCGATCGCTCCGCCGCGGGCAGAGCCGGTGCCGCGGAGAGAGGCGGCCCGACGCCGCCACCTGCAGCCGACGGCGATGACGCCGCCTCGTCAACGTAGCTCGGGCCGCGGCTCTGAGAAGTGTAATGCGCGTCAGACTCGCTGAGCTCGCAGGCTGTCTGTACAGTCGCGTCGGCCGCCGCCGTCGGTTCCGTATCGCCCACGGGCGGGCTCGGAGGGAGGGGCGTTCTCGGCGACCTTTCCGGGTTTGAGTATTGGCTGGCGGCCATCCCATTTGCTTCTGTGAGCTGTCATAACCGACCGCGCCGCGCGCCGCTAGAACGGATGGCCCGTCACTGATCACCTGAGCATTGCTCATCGGGTCAGTGACGCCCACTGTTGTAACAGGTGCACCGCTCCGTCACCGAGCCGCTTCACTGGATCACCAGGTCGTCGTTCATCGAATAACTGGGCTATTGGTCAACAGAGCATCGAATCATTGACAGTTATATCGCCGACAATGGATTCCGTCGTGCGTGAATGAAAACGCAGGACGAAAAATGAAGATGGACTAAAGGCGACCTTTCGTACGACGTGGAAGGTTGATCACGCCGACGTCCCTGGCAAATTGGTAGTAGTATATCTGTCAATCGCATTTTTCTCTACTCGTTCGCTCCTTCATTAGTTGCTAACGTTGATGGTAAATCCGGTTATCAGATGGACCGACTGGCTGACGACTGGACGACCATTGAAGGAGTGGCTTCCCCGGGAAACCGCAGGGCCGGCGGATGGCCAGCCGCGGATAAATATTGACGGCGCTGGGCGAACCGACAGTGATTTAGCTGCTAATGGACTGCGAACTGCCCTGAACGAGAGCTGGCAAAGTGAGCTGTCTCGTCGACAAAATCGTGTCGTGCGACATCCCATCCTGTCTTTCAGACATTCTTTCTCTGTGACAAGCTGTATGTTATTACCAGACGGTGAGGCATAGATTGTCCTCTTGTAGAATAGTTAAGCGATGATCAACAAAGCAAGGATGGAAAGTGCTGGGTGTGCCGCCGGCGCCGGCTCGAAGTCTGATTGGATGTTACGTATCGGGTGCTTAGCTGAGCGGCTAACGAATGGGAGATTATACATTTTGATTTATCGGTCGAGCGGTCTGCTGAGGGACTGAGGCTTAGATATGTGCTGAAAAAATGGAAGTTGTAACTTTCTTATATGCATGATAGATGGAATGCATTTTATCAATGCGTTGATGGGCAATCCCTGGTGTCAAAGCTGTTGAAAACATTTCTCCAACTGTTGATAATCGGCAACGCAATGCTGTTGCATAACAGCTTGTTTTTAGCTACTATTTTTTGCTTTGCCTTACCTCCCTTCCCTCTTGCCCACCTCTCATCAGTGTGATTACCGTTGCAAATCCGTTCCTTTTTAGACGCTGAAGGGGCCACGGCCGGTCATCGCAATGAAGCGAGACGCCCTCAGCCATTTCGCTCCATCGATGCCCACTGATTGCTTCCTTGATTGACTGATGCATAAATCAATTACCTACACGCACTTATGTATGCGCACTGCGGGCGCTGCCAAATGACTCGTCAGCCGCTTGGTCCGCTGTGGGTGTTTACTTTTTGACCGGAGCGTATATTGGGGCAGGGGGCAGAAATGGCGGCACTTCGTCCTGTGTGCGCATGTGAGGACTGGGTGTATGTTGGGGGCTGCTAAGGGCGTGATTGCTGAATTGAGGATGTTTTTGGGGCTAAGGATTGACTTCATCAAGAATTCTTACATAATATATTTATAAGAAACATTCAGATGTCCCTCTAATACCCACATTTACGTGTTTTGTCATCAGTTCTTATGTCGGTCGTTGGAAGGTTTTACGTCGTTGGCTGTCGTTCAGGCGCTGATCTCTGTTCCGGCTCATATCATCTGGTCGGTGTTCCGGCTCATATCGTCCGATTTCTTATCCCTGCCGTCTGCTGATCCCCCAATTCCACACAAAGCTTTTCGTTCTGAGGTTCTGGATGAACCCCGTCAGCGCTGAATTGTTGATCGGTCCCGGTGACCATCTGTATGACCCCTGTGACCCCGAACTGGTAGCTCCGTGACCTCGAGTCCCCTGGAGAAGCTGCGAGCGCGCCAGGCAGACTCCTGCGGGAGCGATCCCATCTCGCTACTCTACTGCTTTGGTCGGCTACTTATCCAGAACTGATAGCTCGACGTAGGGTCAGGATGCTTGCCTTGTTCGTTAGGGACCCTTTATGTGGTGTCAAATTCTTTGGTAAACCTGTGCTGTGGTCGACTGACCCCTTCCTTCATTTGAACCCTCAAAGAACTCAATGTAACAAACGGTCCTAGATATAATGTTGGGATCACTCATCAAACTTATTGGGCGTTACGACTGGTATTTGCAAGCTGTTGGGTTTCATCTATTCCCCACAGGGTGGCGGTGCATTCGCCTGGTGACGGGCAGATTTCATGAGGAGTTGTGGGCTGGGAGTCGAAACTCTTCTGCGGTCAGAGAGCAGCGAGAGCTCATCCGGTAGCTGGCTCAGACACGTTAGAGCTCTGACAACACGGGAAGGTACGGGAGAGCTCCTGGGGAGTTCATGGCGGGGAGAGCCGCGTGATTGTTCGGGGTGAACGGGAACAGTGGAATGTAACTTTCGGGTGAGAACAGCTGCGAAATGAGAGGCTGGAGTGGGAAAAGCTGCGATATGTTTGTGTGAGATAGGTATGGCTTCTTGGGAGCTGTGGGAGCTCGCAATTTACCAACAAAGTAGATGTTGGTGGCTTGGAAAGCTCTGCACATCATCTTATCTTGCACTCGCATCTCAAACTGGCAGAACCCTTATCGTTCGAGAGGTAGAGTGAGTAGTACTTGTACGGCAGAGTGGAGAAGGAGCTGTGTAAGCTCTCAGAGTGCTGTGTAAGCTTACGGTGATTCCCGAAAACTGGAAACATTTTGCAGCTAATTCTGAACCAGGCTGTGAATGGCAGGACTCGGCCTGAAATTGACAGCTGTGAAAGTTTGTTACACAGTTGTGCTGAATCCGCCGAGTTCCACTACAGGGACTACCTCTTTTGGTGGAGAATTCAACTCTTCTGTGCGTCGCTTACTTTCAGACCGCGGTACGGCGGTCAAAGGTAGTTTGCTACCAGTTAACAACTTACCGCATCTGACTGCCATTAAACATTTTCGAAAGTAAAATGTGTAATTAAAACACTGTATGGTCTATCTGTGACAATTGCGCGTTTTGAGATTCCTTATGTACCGGCATTAGGCACGATTAAAAGTAGGTATTTATAATGTTCTTAGCAAAAGCAGTACCTACGCGCTATTTATAATGCGTGTGATTTTCAACATTTGGTAAATTTGACATTTTTGGACAGACGATTTAGCCTCTCTTTACTAAACAAAGTTCTTACTCTGACTTGAGATTGTACCCAAGTTTGAGATTGAGATTGTACCCAAGTTTTTCTCCCTTAGATGTTTCTGTGCGCCTCACAAATAGCTTCGCAGCCCGACCTGTCTGTTTGCCATCACCAAACGTGGCCAGCCTCTAAAGGCACAGACTTCCGCTCTGGCGCCCAGCGAAGACAGCGGCCAGACTCAGTTTATGGCGCCATAACAGAAGTTGCTCGTTTTCGTATCGGGGCAACTGGTGGCAAGTTCGTTAGCTCTGAGTGAATTATGGAGTTAATTAGTGAAACGGAGCGTAACGCGGCCCCAGCACAGCGTTTAGGGTATTGATTTATGTCTGTATTGTTCACGCGTTAGAGTGAACATTGTTTCCTCACGCGCACGCTAGTTACGCACGGTCTGAGGGCTTCTTCCTATTCGGTGTGTTTGCTGAGTTGCGTGGCAACGGATAACAGTGCATACAGCCCGTGGCTTTATTTTGCGTCGTTGCTTTCAGACGGAAGCTATATGTATCACGCAAGCTTTCAGTGTTCAGAAAGCAGCTCGCCTCGTACTGGTGAGATTTCCGGTCCATACTGCAGCGGATGCTGAGGCCGCTAGTTTGATCGCCTCCATTTCTGTCTGGCTTATGTCCAGTCATCTGTCTTCATTTGCCGAGTTTTTGCGTTCGGCTTTTACCACTCGCGTGACTGATGTTTCTACTCTTCTTCCACAGAAGCGCTAGCGCCGGGGCCGGACCGCGTCGTCGCTGATCGTGGTCGTACGGCTGACCTGCTGGTGACCTGCCGCACCGGCTGGCGTCCTTCGATCGACCCGTGACACCGACCGTGGAGTGGCCTTCCGCACACCTGAGATAGCTGGCGATCCACGGGACTTCTCCGAGTGTCCTGCCTGTGCGGTGCCGAACCGCGGCCGTCGGGACGCTGCGGGCCCGTCGGTCCGGGCTGGGAGTGAGTGACCTGACCGACCGCAGCAGCAGCCACCTGCACCCCAGTCAGCGCCATGGCGGACCTCGAGGCGGTGCTGGCGGATGTCAGCTACCTCATGGCCATGGAGAAGTCCAAGTCGACGCCGGCGGCGCGGGCCAGCAAGAAGATCGTCCTGCCCGACCCCAGGTCAGTTCGGAGGGGGTCTGGGTAGTCGCACTGGGTCATGCTTAGTTCACGATAATGTCATGAAGAGGTGACTTCGGGGTCATCCTGAGGTCACGCTGAGGTCCGCCAAGTCTCTCTAAGGTCGTTGCGTTCGTACTAAGTCATACTCGTACTTAAGCCGTAAGCCGTAATCGCCACGCCATATGTGGAAGGCTTTTGATGTCAATGCATACATACATACATACATACATACATACATACATACATACATACATACATGCATACATACATACATGCATACATACATACATACATACATACATACATAGTTAGACCTAGCTATGAAGTCGGTAGTCATGTACCGCTCGGATAGATCGATTATCTGGAACGGTCATCTGGCATATATCCCCGCGTCGTGTGCTCGGCTTTAGTTGGTCATGCTCTGTGAATTATGCCCCTGGAACGTCAGCCATGAGGTGTGACTAGGACCGGCCAGGCTGCGCCATCGGACGAACTCGTATTTATGTGCGACGGTTCGTTATCTCGCGTCGGGCAAAAGATTTATGACGCATATTTGATAAGCCGCGCACAGTACTTGAGGACTTGGCGTGGGTTTTGGTGCACGTTACCTGCCCTCTTTTGGTGCGACTGTTGAGGGCATCTATCAACCCACTTGACACATATGTATATTTGTTTAGTCACTACTTCTTCGTGACTCCTTTGGAATTAACCAATAACTCTTTCTTTCCCCTTACCCGCAAATAAAAATGCACCACATACTATGCCGCAAACTGAGGATAAGGAAGATACATTTGTAATGACCAAATTTAACAAGTTAACTGGCTACGCAACAAGGAACCCTCAACTTACCGTTATGTGTCCGCCATGAGGCCACGTCTGCCTACTTACAGCAGCTTAATATCCGGGCACTTGACGTGCCTTTCCTTATCTGCGCGAGTGACGCGGGTTTCTGGTGGCGGCCCGGTGTCGTGCGTGTCGCTATATTGGCCCAAGGATTTGCGCTATCGCCGCCTTGTCCGGCCAGATTAAGGTTACTGGCGACAAAATGAACTTTGGCTCGCGCCTGCACGGTCTGCCCCGCGGCGACCTGAACCGATATCGACCTACTGTTCGGCGCATTGCATCCGCAACAACCCCGCTTCCTGAGAATACTTTTTGATTTAGTAGCACGATGTCCGGTGCCAGAGAAGTATACTGCATTGAACTGCAAGGTTGCAGTGAAAACTGGCTGCGTTGACCTCGCATATGTGACTCTTCACATAAAACGAAGCCTTGCTGTGTCATGAGCGTCAGCAGGTTGTGGGATAACCAGCTGTTTCGCGATTGTTGGAATATAATCGGACGCTCCTTGCGGTAACGTAGACGCTGTTTTGCCTTAAGTGGTCCGTTTTCCTGGTGGTCTTATACCCGAGCGTCATTCAGAAGGTAGCGTGGTACAGCTGTGATTCATTTCCAGTCACGGTTTGTCGGTACGAGTCTGCTTTGCCATACAGCTGCTCTTCAGCGCTGTACGCTAGGCTAGCGCGTCTCTCGGACCCAAGTGTGGATACTGGATACCCTCCGCCTTGATATCTCCCTATCGTCACTGCTAATCACTGGTGTTGACTTCAAACTATCACAAGCTCCTCAAACCCCGAATCCGTGGCTCTACTAGCCCGTCGCTACCAGCCATGCCAGCCCACCAGGACGAACGTCTCGCGACGCGCAGCACCAGCCCGCATCAGCTGTTAGGCCGGGGCTCGCTATTTGCTTGTGCGCGTTTTTCCCCGACAGTGCGTTCGCGCTGGACGGGCGTCGTCGTGGCTCGTTTGCTGGCGCTGCGTCGTCCGTCGAGATAGTTTATTGATCTTTGTCTGGTTTTAGACGGCGTGTTATCGTGGCTGGCCGCTGGTCCGTAATGGCGGCACTGGCGGCTATCGGCGGTCGGCGGGACCGTCATACAGAATGAATGCCCAGATACCGGGCCGGTCAGGGTCTTGTTGTCGGATGATTGTGTACGGACTGTGGACACAACACTGAATGTGTTAGCGCTACGCTCCGTTTGCCTGCAGCATACTTCCTTTGTGCGGCTGATAGGGATCGTTATTATTTAACTAGCAGCTATTTTCTTCCTGCGCTGTATTAAAGGTCACGCGGGCTGCGTTATGAGGTTGGTTTCCTGGCGTAATGAGCTCGGTCATGGCGCCTATGCGGGTATGCAGGGAGCCAGCAGGGGCGGCCATCACAGCTGCTATGGAGGCAGGTGAGAGCGATTGGGCTGCTGGCCCGGTGGCGGCGGTCCGTGGGAGGGGAGGGGTGTCTCCGCTACCCCAACCATGGCCGCAAATCACGAATTACGGCCGGACCTTCCTTTCCATTGCGGATAGCGGTGCATTTTTCCCGTGGCGCGCGGGAAACCGGCGGCGCGCGGTCGGCATCTGTCCATGAGCGAAATAAGTGGAACGTTTCGGTACTTGTCAGCTTGTCGTCTATTTATAACGGCGGCTGGCGGCGGTGGCGGCGGCCTTGGTGGGAGGGGGAGGGTGGTCGCGTCGCCAGCGACACGCGCCGCTGACCCGTCGGGCGGCCGCCACAGCGGTGACGGCGGCTCCGATTGGGACCGATGGCCGATCGCGCCGCTCCGTCGGCCGCCGGCCGCGCGCGCGTCAGACGCGGCGGCGCTGGTGGACGGCGGGTCGCTCGTTTCACTCCCCAGAACTTATTGAACGCAATGTCACGTCACACTGTGGGACGGCTGACGCCGAGCCCGGCGGCTTCTGGGTTGGTAGCGGCCCGGCCCGGTGGGACCCCGAGAAACCGCTGCAGCTCAACAAAACTAAAACCGCTGCTGGTCGGAACTCAACTCTAGCGATAATGAACAGCCGAGATGACCCGGAATAAACCAGCGAGAAACACTCGGGATCACTCGAAGCTAAGGGAGCAGCGAACAGCTGGGATGACCCGACCCGGAACTACATACATAGAGCGCAAGGAGTAGCCGGAATTGCCTGGAAGAAGAGCGACAAGGAACTGCCGGGATTGCCCGGACCGAAAGCAGCAAGGAATGTCTGCTGCTAGAAGGAAGTGGACGCAAGGAACGGTCACTGCTTGCCGGAGCATTCCGACTTGGAACGTTGCCGGGCAGACATTGATAGCGAACATTGGCGGAATCTGGTGGAAGAGCTTTGGAGATGGGTGTGTGATGTTACAGCTACAGCTTTGACTGCTTGACGGTTGAACAAAGAGCAGAATTGAATAGCGTTTGTCGATCAACTTTTTAAAGTGCAAATCACGAAAAGCTGCTCAGTCTTATCGATGCACTGATTGAATCGTTTCGCTTGAATGAAGTAATTAATGCATTGCTGATTGAAGCAGTTTGCTGTTCTTGCAAACGTCTGATTTCAATCAGTGCTTTTGTTTTACCTACTTCTTCATTCAAGTTGCCGCTTGTGAATGGTGAGACCTGTCATTACATCCTATATATGCTGTGTTTTTGTCATTTGTGTACTTTTTCATTTATCCTCCAGCGATATTCCAGCCCAGCCTGTGCAAGAAATGTGACTGACGGTTAGTGAACTCAATCAATACCCTGGGCCTGGAATTGGCTGATTTGATTGAACTCAAATAAGGCCGTCGCCTGGATTATTGTTCATTAAATTAAATTTTTGATTGGTCTTAGCTGAACTGATTCATTGTGGAAGAATTTCGTCGGGAATTATGGGGATTATGGAAGTGAGGTGCTCCATTGCCAGACGAGAAGGAAATGAGCGAATTGTTGAACTGTTGCTCGGAAAGCCACAATTAATGCATGATATCACTATCCTTACCAGCCGAGGTCATGAGGGGACAGGGACGTAGCCAGGATTTCCTCCAGGGGGGGGGGGGCAAACTTACAGGGGCCCAAGGTAAACCCCCTCAAAATCCAAAAAGTCATCGGATTTCATCCACTATTTTTTGGAGGGAGCCCAAATAAATTTTTTAAAAAATTAAAAAATGAAAAAAACCTGAGGGGCAAGCAGTCCATGGGTCCCTGCTAGATAGGCCCACGAATAGCTTCATAGAGTCGCTCACCCGGTTCTGAAGGCGGTCTTGAGGGCCCTAGCGGCAAGGTCTCAGGCCCGAAAGGCCCCGCGAACCCAGTGGAGTGCCCCGAGGGGCCCTTACGCTACTTTTATTGTGCCCCTTACCGTACTTATGACACCGCGATGGGGCCCTTTTGGGCTCCAGGGGGGGCATGGCCCATGGCCCCCCCCTTGGCTACGCCCCTGTGAGGGGATCACTCTGGGACTCCCAGCGCTTTCAGATGCCGCTGTAGTCTCATCTTATCCATCCTCAGACACAGCTGCGGAGGTGCCCTCGACTGCCACCCACGGCCCGGGATCAGTCGATCTATTGGCGTCCGCCGGATCGCGGCGTCCGCCCGGCTCCGATTGGAGCCATTTCGCGCCGGCTCGGCCCGAGGCTGGGGGCGCTCGATCTGCCCGCCGGTCAATACGGTCCAATTTCCGTGATGTCCCCCTGCCGACCTGCGCGGCCGCTGTTTGCACCGGCGCTTAACTGTGCGTCTGTGTGCGAGCGACGGATCGAACCATTTCTGAGACCCTCCGCCTTAGCTCAGCTCAGACAGATAGCTCAGAGTAGAGCCTCGACAGGCCTTCGTTAGGGCTTTTAATTAGCTCCCGTCGGCTGAGTAGGTGAGTAAAGCGCAGTGCGTGCTGCTGCGGGTCCTTCGTGCCGGTGGGGGCACACGAGTTGACCGGGACTGTACCTGGCGCAGACTCGAGTGGCTGGGCTGAGTGCGGTGGTTCCCCTGGCGGGCGCAGTGCCCTCGGGGTTATCGGGAGGATTGTCGGGGCTCTGCAGGTACTTGGTACAGGTATTTCGGCATAACATGGGTCGGAGCAGGTGTACCTACCTATATGCAATGTGCATTGTCGGGAGAGACCCGGAAGGCAGAGATCGGCGGGACCGAGCTGCTTACTGTTTGCTGTTTGTAACGACATCGCATAACATGACGTGAT